CAGTCAAAGCTGCAAAGACCAAAACCCCCACAAGAGGAACCCTCAACGAGCATCCCAACATCCTCTTGAGCGTCAGTAAGAAGGAAGCTCTAAAAGGCATAAGAAACACAGAAGCCAGATACAAACGGCATTGAAGGTTTTCGGCAACCAAGGTAGCCGGCAGGTGGGGAACCTGAGCATGGAACTGCACAAGACCCACATCATGGGGTGGCATACAGGGAAGGACTCGAACTCGCCAGAACTGCAAAATAGCAGACACTTCCCATCAGTCAAGAGTGCAGTTATGGCAAAATCCATGCCAAGCCCCAGGAGAAAATGAAGGACAGTCTGCTAGCCATGAGGACTCTGGAACCTCAAACACAACCAAAAGAAGAGGAAGAACCGAACTCAAAGAAGGCCGGATCCCAAACCAATTAGAAACCGGATCATGCAGGAAGTACGTACCAAAAGCCTCCCGAGCCTCTGCCAGGGATCCCAGAAGGAAGTAAACCCCAGAAGGGCTAGTCTGAAAAACCCAAAGGTCCACGGAAATGAACCAGGGTAGCCACACAACGCACATGTGTAAAAAAAAAAAAAAAAAAAAAAAAAAAAAAAAAAAAAAAAAAAAAGGGAGAAGAAAATCCTGCACCCTGCAATAAAAAACCCACCACAGAAGGCAGAAAGGCCCACAAAGAATACAAATAGGACCCCCAAATGCCCCAAATTCACTACACACAAACCCCAGGAACTGTAGAAAGGAACCCAAGGGCTGAGCTCTCATCCACACCCACTGCCTGGAAAGGGATAGCTAGCAAGGAAAAAAAAGAGGAAAAAAGGGAAAAGTAGCCAAGGTAAAAGCTTTGAAGGGGTCAGCTGGGATGACCCACAAGCTTCAGCAGGATAGACGCTTGACTGCCTCCACCTGAGCCACATCCTGAGCTAAACCCCCCCCCCCACCCGGAGCTGAAAGCAGGGGGAAGAAAGGAGAAAACGGCCCACCGGGAAGGAAGAGGGAGTGCAGAAGGAACTAAGGTCGAGGTGACCAACACCGATAAATCAGAGTCCCTATACACCAAGTGGGGCAGATCCGGGCCTTCCAACCGGGCAAACAACCAAGACTGCTGCAACGCTGAAATTGTCAAATGCAGAGCAGTCGCTGCCTGATACCTCTGAACCTCAACAGAGGAATGAGTAAGAGAGAGTACATGACGGGGGGAACAAGTCCCACATAACTCAGGATTGAAGGTGTCACTAACCCAATTGGCAGCATGGAGGAGGCACGACGTATGAACATCACCAGGTGGCAGTTGATGAACAACCTTCATATTCACACAAAGTGAAAGCAGGCTTGGAAGAGGTACCTATAGTATAACCGAGCCCATAGGGGTTTTCCAGGGTCTATTGGGTGAATGAGCCCTACAGGAAGCACAGGCACTGGAAATACTACACAAGTAACCCCCCCGAGTTTAACAGGCAACCCTGGCTACCCAAAGCCAACGGAAAGGCCAAAACGGGGCAACAAGGGAGTTCAACCACACACCCTAGGATAGATTAATAAGGTGAAAAAGAAGAAATAAAAAAGCATAAAAAGTGCAAAATTTGAGAACACTAAATAAAACACAAAAAAAGCCCAAGCCCCCAAGAATGACCACAAGAAAAACTGAAAAACGATCACGAAACACAGAAAAAATGATCACAGATCACTCAGACACAACTCCAGCACACTTGCCATGGATGTGTCTGCTCCCACAGCCTACACCGTGTGATAGTCAGCAAGGTGCATTACACTAGGAGGTTGGCCCCACTCTCATCCTGTACATACACAGGAGAAGATGGAGGGCCAACCTTATGTATTGAGCATTACCAGGTAGAGCACCAGTAAGCTTGAGCCACTCCACAAGATATCGAAAACCACTGCGACCCATAGAGTGGGTGGTAATGGAACTTTAACATCAACCCAAGCTCCTATGGTCCAGGGCCCTCTTGCATCATGCTCCATAGGGTTAATGTTCACTTCCAGGAGAGCCTCATTCTCTCTACCACCAAAATCTTAACACAGATCTCTACCACTGCCAACATCTCACCGGATGACAGCCTGGAGACAGAAGAGGGTGTTCACCTACTCTTCTCTAGCAACTTGGACCTGGAGAAAACATTCACCACTACTGCCATGACCACCCTGCAAGATGCCGGCATCACCCTCACACCACCATGATACTATCTGGCACATAGGACAGTGTTTATCAGCAATATTAGCACATAGATCACCAATCAGAACGACGATGACATCCTTGCCAATATCAACACCTAGAACCTAAAACTGATTGCGGTAGCAGCCAATACCACCATCAACACCGACCTCGGCCACAGACCAACAATGACGGAGACCTTCAGCACGGCCATCACAGCGACCCATGCCACAAACTACGGATTCAAAAGCTACGGTATCGCTATATCACCTGCCCAAGTGACCAAGGAATGCTACACAGAGCTCCAACAGAGCTTCAAATGCTACCAGTGAGCGCAGAGTGCACTGAGTGAGCACAGAGATGCAGTCTCTGTGCATAACCTGCACATCCTCCCTCCCAATGCTGGCTGCTCTGCAGTGGCTCACACCCTGCAGTTTCACCTGACTGTATCCTCCGACAGGAGGAAATCATGAAGATGATGTCTACCACCTCACCTCGCCCAGCACACCCACTTCTTTCGGAATTTTCAGTCTTACCCGGAAACACAGCTCTGTCTACCTCACCACTGGTCAGCCTCTGGGGATGAAACGCCCATCCGACCGCATCACCTCTTACCACACCACCACCTATCCAGCCTTCAGCTTCCACCAAGACCACCCTGCTACCCGTCCTCCTCCACCTCGCCAACAAAATGGCGGGCAACAACATCAAACACTACGTTCACATCATCAACAGGCTGCTCGCCGCAAACTGACTTCTGACTGCTACTATATCGGACAACCTCCTGGCAGCCCCACAGCCTACCCCGGCCCGGCTGCTCACCCTTCAGCAGAGACATCCCTAGCCCGGGACCTATCATCTGATGAGGACCTCACATCAAACGAGGAAGACGGTCTGACTGCAGGTCCCCCAACCGAGGCAGCAAAGAAGCCCAGACCATCTGGGCACAATGACTACAATCCCAGAGCTGGTCCCCATGGGTGAGACAGCCAGGAAACCCCCACAGCCACAACGGGACAACTCGTGGGACTCCGATGACTCGATCGATGTTACCGACTTGCCTCCTGCTCAAGCATTACCGCTGTCACCCATACTGCTTATGTACCTGCCTAAGGTCTCCCATACCATGGATCGTCATCAAAGACAACCTGCAAGAAGGACAGACATGATAACTATCACTACTTTAACATCATGTGGCAATTAGAGTGCCATAAAGAGGGCCGATGCATTGATCCTGACATAGTATGACTACTGTATGGTTGAAGGCTTGATCGACGACATCACACCAGACTACGATGTCACAACATGCACAAGAAGAGGACCACCTGACAGGCTGGAGAGCAGATGAGAAATAGCTGTCGAGCTCCCAAGAAATTAACGCACGTAGTAACCACCAAACAGGTTGGGGCACCCCACCCATATGGCACGCTGTAAGCAATACCTGCCAAGCCTTTGCAAGAACCCACCCCACAGCATCAGCTGCAAGTATTATCCACGGTGATTGGGCCACCGAACTGTCTGACTCCTCTGATCCTGTTTATTACCAAAACTTTCTGCATGCATCCTTGCCACAGTCTTCCATCCCCTGCATACCTGCCCCAGGGTCTTTGATTCGATTCGGCCCCCCATACAACACCATGGAAAACGAGCAACCAGGAAGAAATATTGGCATGCCTTTGTGTTAATTGAATAACTGGCAAGGCAAATTCCAGCATGCCCCACCAGCCAAAAAACACTCCCAACCTGAGGGAAGACAGTCACAGACTACTGGCTTACCTGAAGGGTGAGGACCACCCCAAGCGAGGAGGCCTTCGAAAGGGAGTGCTTCCCGAACACTCCAAGGAAGGCAGTCCTGTGCGCTCTGTGAGTACTTTCTCAATGGAAAGTACTCAAAGAGCGCACAGGGAAGATAACCCAGAGCTCATGCAGCTCCAAATACACTAAACATTTTGCTCTCACACACAACCGTACAAGAACTGCCCAAAGGCAAAACATTGCACTGAAAACAGGAGCCAGAGCAATCAAGACCACTCCCAGGAACCATCAGAATAGCGTTGACAATGGGGCAGGCTAGCAGATCTGATACGCCTCCCTCCTCCCCCCCAAATTAAGGGGAAGGTGGGGCTAACTATTTCGTTAGCTAACTAGCTAACTAGTTTCATGAAATTTTGGTGGTTTGTTTTTCATTGTTGGGGGGAGTTCTTTTTGCAATTTTGGGGCTACAGCCTTGTTTTTAATCATGCAGTAGTCTGTTTTGGTTCACCTACTTTTCTGGGTGCCTTCCCTGGTGGTGGCAATTATGATTAACTTTAATATAAAGTGTTCATAGGCTATCGCCCACTGTGCCTCTGAGGGGGCTAGGTTAGGTTAGGTTGTACTCATTATTAATACTTCTCCTCAGTACTACTACCACTATTTCCCCTCAGTACTACTCCTACTTCCCCTCATTAGTAGTAGTACTACTACTACTAATACTTCCCCTCAGTAGTACTACTTCCTCACACAGTTCTTATATCCTCTCAACCTCATCTCTATGCCTTATTATTTTAATACCTTATTGTATTATGCTGTATTTCATTAATGCCTTATTGTAATAATGATGCCTTGTTGTTTTAATGATGTTCTATTGTTTTAATTCTTGTTTTAATTATGCAGTGTCTTAATTGTACCTTACTGTCGTAATCATCCCTTATTGGCTTATCGGGAATTATTGTCTTAATTGCACCATTTTTTGTTAGTTTTGAGCCTTATTTACTTAATTATTCTTTGTTCTAATTGTCCCTTTTTGACTTAATCATGCTATATTGACTTAATTGTGCTTTCCTCCTATAGGAGTTATGCTCGTCCCCCAGAGCTATTCCTTGTCGATCACCCCGGCTAATGGTACCTCCCCCTGATAGTGCATGGAAGAGCAGCACCCACCTCGTGGAATTGCCCACCAATTCCTATGGGACTATCACGTTTGTCAACGAGACAGCAGGTTTGGCTTTTTGTCATGAGGCGTGTAGCTGGATAGTTTGTGATGGTATCCTATGTGGGTGTGGTTTTGTCATGTATTTTGGCTTTTGTTAATGTCTTGTCTGTGATGTGACTGTGTCATTGTGCTTAAGTGTACAGATATAATAATAATAATATCCCTACAATAATATAGGTGTGCTTTTCTTTCATATTGTACACTATTACAGACTTCGAGGAGGGGGCCCCACAAAATTCCTGTGCCTAGGGGCTCCAAAGGGTTTTAATCAGCCACTATGAACATAATTTTCAATCTGTAGCTGTAAATATGTATAAAAGTACACACATACACAAAAAATAAACCCAGCATTGAATGTAATAAAATGCCTCTCTCTGGATGAGACCCAGTGGCTCCTTGAAGCTATATTGTTAAGATTTCACCATACAAAGTTATCACATCAGATGAGGGAGTTCTGTTTGGCCTACCTGGTCCCTTCAGAGGTGCGGGGAACAAGTGACAGTTAAACTCCATACCGGGAAAGCATCCAAAAAGTCAGTGAGGCTTTACAGACAACTGGAGGGTTAACAGAGACCAAATACTTGAAAATGCCAAACAACTCTAAAATTAATTGCACAGAAGAAGAGAAGCATTAAAAATTAGTGCAAAACTCAGTTTTGAAGGCCACTATCAGGTGTCTTGGCTTCCACAAGCCGAGCATGACATAATCTTCCTTGTCAGTTCTGGAGCTGATGAACAGCATACTGATGAAATGATGAACCTGGTAAAGATGAAGGGAGGTTATAGTTTATAAACTTAAACACTGAATTATACTGAATTTATAAACCCCCAAATTGTGTGAAGGAAAGTTTACTGGTGATAATATATCATAAAATTACAGGCCACTCAAAAGTAATAAATAAGTAATAAATACAATTAAATATAGTCCATTCTAAATAATCATAAATTAATCACCAGTAGATTTCTCCACACACCACTGAAGGGACATCAACTCAACCATGCTTGAGGTCAACCAACCAACAATGACCAGAGGCAGAGCCAGAGAGGATATCGGACTTACAAGCCCTGACCCCTAGAAAGTGCGAGGGACGAACCATCTCCACCGTAGGCCATGTGAAATGACCTTAAAGGCTCTTAAACATAGGACCAAGATCTGACAAATCGAATTAGATAACCCCCCTACAGTGGTATCAGAGGCAAACTATGAAACAGCTGGTGCCTAACGCGAGTGGAACCACCCATCTGCGACAAATAGTTGCGACATCTAGCTGAAAAAGAAATCGCAACAAGAAGTGCAACGACCTGGAAAACTGACTCACCCAAGGACCTGTTTCGAACAGCAGGCAAGACGAAGGTCGAGAGTAAAACATTGCTGGGTTTAGCTTGGACATAAACACAAATTTCAGGTACCTCAAAGATATTTCTAAGGTATAATATAAATGTAGCACCACACTAACATACTGACAGTTACCTAAAATTCTGAGGAAGATAGACTACAAATGAAAGGGGGGGGGGGTTGTGGTCTTTACAAAACTTAGAGCATGGACATAACTATTCACACTTCACACTCTAGCCTCCCACAATGGCTGACTGCCTCCATGTGCTCATCAACATTCCTGCCAATACTGTATATTCAAATGCTTTTGCATTTCAATTTATTTTTCTTATTATCCCTCATAGTTTAGAACTGGATTTTTACATTAAACACATTTTCCTAATGTTTTCAGTTGCTAAATGTGCCTGAACTATTGTCTGTATTGTATTACCACCCTTGTTTATATTCATTTAGAGGGTAGAGTGTACTATTTATAAATGATAGCTACAGCCTTGGTGGGAATTTCAAAAGTCCACCTTACAGTCCGACATATTTAAGCATAACACATTACAGCTACACCTCTAGCTAAGCTCTGCCCCAACTCTGAAACTCTCAGATACTTTGGAGCTGGAACCCGAGAGGGGAAACCAGAGGCAGGGTGAACCACACCTGCTGGAGCTCATGGTCATAGGTGCCACCACCCCAACAGGCAGCATTGCGGAGGCAGAAAGAATGACCATCGTCTGGTCACAAAGATGATGAGCACCCTTCAAAATTGCACGTGGCGAGTGCAGGCTTGATGGGCTAGACGAACTTTGCCAAAGATCTACAAGGGAGTTACCAGGCCCATAAGGCAGCTGGCTAAGCAGAGCTGCTTGAAAGATCCAGAACGGTAGAATCCAGCAGGACATCAGCGAAAGAACTGGCAACGAAGATGTCTGTGTGGAAAAGCTGGGCCACTTATTGGAAGCATTTGGTACAAAGAGTTTCAAGATAATTTTGAGCATTTTTCTTATTCTGCATAAAACATTTGCATTTTTTTTTGCATTTTTAAGGATTTAGACTAATCCTCCAGTTGTCTGTAAAGCTTCACTGATTTTCTGGATGCTTTCCAGGTGTGGTGACAAATTGTCACTTGCTCTCTGTGTTTCTGTGAGAGGGGGGGAGGGAGCCAGTGTTTGGCTGTGGTTCCCAGTAGGCCAAACAGAACTCCTGTGTCTAATGTGACTCATTTGGATGGATCAATCTCAGCAAGATAGCTTCAAAGAGCCACCAGGGGGTTCCTTGAGAAAGAACATCTAACCACTACATTACATCTCCTCCAGGAACAAAGAAACCAGCCAAGTATGTTAGGATATCTTCTGACACACCCATGAAGAACGTCCTCACTCTGCTCTCTGACTACTGGCGGCTCCTTGACCCCAACCGGCCCCAACTGGTCATCTCAGTCACAGGAGGAGCCAAGAACTTCCAGCTAGATGGCAAGAAAAAGGAAACCTTTTCCTCTGGTCTCATAAAGGTGTAGTGGATTTATTTTATGCATTCTAAAGGTAAATTTCCTTTACAAGGACCACATTTGCTCCCCTAGCTAGCACCCAACCACTTGGGCTGGACGGTAGAGCGATGGTCTCGCTTCATGCAGGTCAGCATTCAGTCCCCGACCGTCCAAGTGGTTGGGCACCATTCCATTCCCCCCCCCCCCCCCCCCGCCCCATTCCGAATCCTTCCTTATCCTGACCCTCTTCCCAGTGCTATATAGTTGTAATTGCTTGGCACTTTTCCCTGATAATTCCCTCCCTCCCTCCCCAAGCCAGCAGTCAGAGGTTATCCAAAACACTGCTAAGACAATAGGATCATGTTGACCTTTGTCCCACCTTGACCAGGATTTTTGCAAATATTGTTGCCACATTGGAAAGAGATGGTGGTGAGTTCTCTTGTTTAACATTTCTGTTTGTTATCAATATGGTTTAAAATTTTTAACATTTATAAGTGATGATTTGTCATTGCAGGCAGTTAAGTCAACAAACGCATGGATTATGACAGGAGGGATGCATGTGGGCATCATGCGGAGTGTAGGTGAAGCCGTCAACCAGGGGCAGTTTATGGTCAAGGTGAAGTTTATCTGCTACCTTGTATGTCTATCATTGTTGTGTGTGTGTGTGTCTTCATTTTTATATTTTCTTATCTCTCTCTTTATATCTCAGCATTTCCTGTGTCCACATTTCTGTCCGTAATTTCCTAAGTGTAGTTACAGGATGAGAGCTACGCTCGTGGTGTGCCGTCTTCCCAGCACTCTTTGTCGTATAACGCTTTGAAAGTATTGATGGTTATGGCCTCTACCACCTGCTCACCTAACTTGTTCCAACCGTCTCCCACTCTGTTTGCGAAAGTGAATTTTCTTATATTTCTTCGGCTGCTTTGTTTAGTTAGTTTAAATCTATGACCTCTTGTTCTTGAGGTTCCTGGTCTCAGGAAGTTTTCCCTATCAATTTTATCGATTCCTGTTACTATGTTAATGTTTCCCTGTTCATGTGAGTTGTGTGTTTGAAAAAAAAGCATGCAACAAGCATCCTCGTCTCGATCTATATTGACACCATCATACTATTTCTAACGTCTCACTGCTGTAACTGAACTATATCAGATAAACATCAAAACAATAAAACTCTATGAATACTGTCATCCAAAATCATATGCTACAAAAGAATTAGGATTGATTAGAAAATGAGTTTCATCATGTAATGGGAGGAAAATCAGACTGAAACTTATTCTGAAAGTGAGGTGCATGGGGCATACAATCGGGCACACTGTATATGATGTGTGTTCTTTTGGCCGGAGAAGGTAAGTATTTACCTGTGAAAGAGAACGAAGTGTTGCGAAAATAAAATATAAGAAATAGAAATACATGTAGAAATAAAAAATTATCTAAGATGCATGCAAAAATGATCATAATGTTTAAAGCAATAATTTATGTATATTATAATACAGCTCACTAAAGATCCAACAATTTTTCAGATAAAACGAAAGACGTTCTTTGCCGAGGTGGGTAAAAATCTCTTGTATGCAATTACCTTTTATTGATATTATTTATTTATAAATAAGGATTTTGGTGCATACATGCAATACAGTAGATTCATATTTATAAGGTACATAGTCACAATTTTATTTCCCATTGTCATCCAATATCATCATTTATTATTATTTTCATTACATTATTATTATTATTATTATTATTATTATTATTATTATTATTATTATTATTATTAAGAAGCTTTGGAAGAGTACGGGGATGGAAGCAGGGACCTGGAGACTCCCAGCAGCACTCCTTTTTCCTGGATCAGGTTGCTGGTTGCATTCCCGTACTGTTCCAATCATTTTCTTATTGATGTATCACAGCAGTCATCGGGAGGACAAACCCTTCATGCAAACTGCACTTACTATCAAGAAGAAGAAAGATGTATCACATTAATGTGATTTCCTCGTGTATTATTACAGTATTATTATTATTATTATTATTATTATTTTTATTATTATTATTATTATTATTATTATTATTATTATTATTATTATTATCTTATTTTTATTATTATTTCATTTTTATTACTTATCATTATTATTTATTTGTATTATTTATTATTATCTAATATTTATTAGCAATATTTATGTAATATTTATTTATGTAATATTTCTGTGGAGAGCCCCTTCGGCTCCTCGGAGCTATACCGGGCTGATGTGTATATATTAGACTGTGGCAACAGCCAATCAAAGGAGTTCTAAGCCTACCGGGGACCAGAGCCAATACCTGGCCCCCCTCGAGAGAGGCACGAGGAGCAATGGCCTAAAGACACCCCCGTGTAATTGGAAGCCAGTCTTTGTCTGCCATCTACCAGGTCAGGAACCAAGAAAGGTAGGAATTTCAAAACAAACTGCTGCTGGTCAAAAAATTTCAAACTGAAAGCCGAACTAATAAACAGAACTCCCCAATCAAAAACAAGGAAACAAACATGACATCACCACAACCGCCATGCATCCGTCTGCGCAACCCCTTCCCTCTCCCTGGGAGGGGAACGGGGGGATCTTAGACCTCCATGCCGGCAACTCTCCTCAGTTCAAGAGGCTGTTGTGTTGGTGATGCTCTGGCACCACTCTTTGTTCAGTGCTGCAGTGCAGTGTTGTTGCTCTGCTTTGGTAATGTGTGAGCCAGGAGTAACACAAGAGTACTGGGGCTGCATGCACCTAGGGCTACCTTCCCTAAGTGCCCCGTAAGTACTGCCTTTGCGGCCTCAGGGTTATCTTCCATGAGCCGTTCAGAAGCAGCTACCTCGGTGTGGTTCTGTTGCTGTTCAGTGACTGCTCGCCCTTTAGGGTTCAGCTGGGAAGGTTCTTACTCCTATTTGCCCTTGGGTAGGAGGTAGTTTCGTCGCTGGCTTTCCCCCCCCCCCCCCCCCCCTGCCGTCCCATCCCAAATCATTATCCTGATCCCTTCCCCAAGTGCTATATAGTCTTAATGCCTTGGTGCTTTCCCTGATAGTTCCCTTCCCTTCGTCGCTGGTTGGGGCGTGAGGTAGCTGTCTGATACAGTATACGCATAGCGACCGGTTCTGTTCACCTGGAGACGTTGTGTTTTATGGGTTTTCTGTGGGGAGCCCCTACGGCTCCCTGGAGCTTATCGGGCTAATGTATGTTATGTTAGACCGGGACATTAGCTAAGGAGTTGAGACCTACCAGGGACCAGCGCCAGAACCTGGCCCCTTCAGAGAGGTTTCAGGGAGCAATGGCCCTGGAAAACCCCATATGGTTGGGGGTTTTCCTTATCTGCCATCGACTAGGGTTAGGCACCCAGAAAGGTAGGCGTAACAAAACAAACCCCACATGGTAAGAAACTACAACAAAAACCGAACAGAGAGGTAGAAAACTCCCTACAATCCCAAGGAAACTAGCAAACAAGCAAACATCACACTTTACTGCCGCGCCGATCGTCCGCGCAGCCCTCCCCGCCCCGGGAGGGGGAGGGGGGAGCCCAGGACCTACCGCACCGGCTGCCAAGCTTCAGTTCGTTCGCTAATGTCAACCGGGATTGACGCTTCTCTGGCCTCAGTTTCCTAGGCGGTGTTTGCCTTGTGTGGCGTTCACTGCCGTGTGTTGTGTTGTGCGGTGGCCAGGAGTACTTCATCAGTGCCGGGGCTGCATGTGCTTAGTGGCTGACTTCCCTAAGCGCCCTGTGAGTACTGCCCTTGCGTAACAGGGTTATCTTCCCTGGGGCGTTCGGGAACCATTCCCGTAGAGGTTCTTGCTGCTCGGCATTTGCCTCGCCCTTGGGGCCAGCTGGGGCTTGGGGCCCTTGTTTGGCCCTGGGTAGGGATTGGTATTGTGCTGGTTAGGGCGTCAAGGTGTTGCGCAGCCTGCCACCTAAGCGGCGGCCGGTTTCTGTTGCCTCTGGAGACGGTGTACTTTTGCGGGGTTTTTCTTTTGTTTTTAATTTTTCATCCCTGGTGGGGGTCTGCCTAAGGTGGTTATAGTAATACTGGTAGTGTTTGGCGGCCCTCTGCTAGGCCCCCGTGATTGTACACGTCTCAGGGGTTTTTCAGTGCTATAATCTACCCTCTTGTTATGTTTGGGTTTTTTAACCGGTTAGCAACACCTTGCCCGGGCTTCCCGTAGTTGTTACCCTACGGGCCCTGGAAACCCCTATCTGGGCTCGGGGGACCATTGAATGTGTCTTCCGGGTTCCAACCCGTCTTGTACGGGATCGTTGGTTGCTGTTCCCTTGTCTCCGGGTGACAGTCGCCATTTTTACCTCCGTCATGCTGCCTGTTGGGTCACTGACACCTTGATCCGGAGTCTTGCGAGTGATTCTCTGCTTGTTCTCCAGTACTCTCCTGATGTTATTACTGTTCAGAGTACATGCGGCATCCGTGTTGCAAGCTAGGTTAGGTTGCTGCAACATGCTAGGTTGGTTTCCCACTCGAATGCCCCGTGGCTGCCCCGTTTGGTTAGGTGCTGCTCGCCCCTTTCCCTCCATGTTCCCGGCTCCGGACCGTCTGCGGGTTTTCGGGGTCGGGGCGAGGTTTAGTTGTGGCAGAGACTCGGGCGGTTTTCGGGGGCTGCCCCGTTCGGGTTGGGGATGGAGGTTTGAGCCTGTGCCTCCTGCCAAGGCTTCTGGCTCTTACCAGCGGCCCTTTCTTGTTGCCTTTCCCATGGACTCTTGCTTTTCTTTAAGGGCGGAGGGCTTGGAGGACGGCTCTGCCCCGGGGCTTCTGTTGTTGGTTCCCGGGGCTGTGGGGGTTGCCTGCTAGCAGTTCTGGGGCGGTTTTGCCCCTTCCGGGGTTTTTCTGCTGTTGGGCGACGTTTTTCGCCCATCTAGTCTGCTAGCTTCCCACATTTGCTATCGTGTTTTTGTGTATTTAGCGTCAGTCACAGCCCCTGCTGGCGGCCATTTTCGTCTGCCAGTTTCCCGGCGTGGCCACCAGGGCGGCGTTGCGGTTTGTTTACATGCGTCTGGGTGTGCGAGCGAGCGTCTCGGGTGAGTTTTAAAAAAAAATTTTCAGGGTTTTTGTTCTGTTGTCGTTTCTTTGTTTTTCTGGTGTTTTCTTGCCGTTGCCTGTTCCTCTGGGAACGTTTGGGTGTTGATTTTGGGTCTGAGCCTATGGGTTGAGGCTCAGTACCCCTGGCTGGTATGCTTGCTCCCACACCTTGTCCCTCGGTTTTCGGTCTGTTGGGACCGTTTTCCCAGGGGGTTCTGCTGGGGGCTGTGCTTTGCCTTTCAGTGGTGTTCTCCGCCGGCAAATGTGGTGGTTTGGGCTCCCCCTGGTTCGATTCTGGGTTCCTTTGGGTTCCTTGGTTTCGTTCTGGAGGTTTCTTCCTCTTGGGCCCCCTTTTGTGGGTTCAGGGGACTTTGTTTCCTCGTGTGACCCGGTTCTGCCTTTTGGGGTTCCGGGGTCTTCCTGGCTTGCAGACTGATCTTGTTGGGCCTTGGCACATGTTGTGGTTGTGCTGGGACTTTGCGGTTTTGCTGTCGAGGTGGGCCTTGTGATGCAGTTTTGTGCCTTCCTTGCCTGGCCAGCGTAGTGCTCTCTGCCCACTAGTCGGCGACTTGTACTTTTACAATATATGTCCTCACCTAGTTGTGCTGTGGGGGTTGAGCTCTGGCTCCTTGTTCCTGCCTCTCAACCGTCTATCAACAGGTAATTACCCAAGTGTAATTACCTAAGTGTAGTTACAGGATGAGAGCTACGCTCGTGGTGTCCCGTCTTCCCAGCACTCTTTGTCATATAACGCTTTGAAACTACTGACGGTCTTGGCCTCCACCACCTTCTCACTTAACTTGTTCCAACCGTCTACCACTCTATTTAGTGTATAGGTTCCTGTGCCTCTTGGGCTCTATCATGTCTACATGTGACATTGTATGGCGGTCAGCCTCGTTACTTGTGTGTGGAGTCACCACATTACTTCGTAGTGCTTTCTCGTTACCATTCTGACACTAACAAAAAAAAAAAAAAAAAAAAAAAAAAAAAAAAAAAAAATTATCTGTGGCTCTTTTGGGTTCTCGGTTTCCACCTGTGTCCCCTAGTGCGTGTGCCCCTTGTTACATAACCTGTCCTTATCAACCCTGTCGCTTCCCTTGGGTATCTTGATTGTGGTGATCAGGGACCAGCGCCAGAACCTGGCCCCTTCAGAGAGGTTTCAGGGAGCAATGGCCCTGGAAAACCCCATATGGTTGGGGGTTTTCCTTATCTGCTATCGACCCGGGTTAGCCCTTTCTTTTCCTTCTCTTTGGGTATGTAGCTCCAGGGAGCCATAGGGGCTCCCCACAGAAAACCAGCGTTGAATGTAATGAAACGCCATTTTCTGGGTGAGCCCCGGAGGCTCCCTGGAAACCCTCCCTCCCACCGGTCGGCGGTTTTTTCGCGTTGGTTGAAGCTTAGCTTCCGAACTGGAGCTTGGCAGCCGGTGCGGTAGGTCCGGGGCTCCCCCCTCCCCCTCCCGGGGTGGGGAGGACTGCGCGGACGATCGGCGCGGCAGTAATGTGTGATGTTTGCTTG